GGTCTTAAGACCGGTCTTAAGACCAAGACCAACTTCGAGTACCACAACACTGGCAACAGGTCTGTGTTTAACACAGACAGTGAGAAAAAAAAGAATACAAAAGGTTTTGAGTTCTTCAATGTTTTTTTCTGCTTTATTTTTCCTTTTGCTGTTTCGCACTGCACTAAATTAATAGTAGCTACATCTCCAGGTTTCTTTTTCGTAATGGAATCATTCTACCACAGCGGCGTGGCTCTGGATGGCAAGTAAAAGAATTGTCTCTTTGCTCTCCAGAGGGTTGTGTGCATGCACGAAATTCCGGATGTAAACAAAAACATGCAATGGGTCTATACAGAGGTAAACTTGTCATCTGCCATCCTCAGCATACAACTGAGACAACCAGTTCCATGATCCCATAATGGCCTTTACAATGCATTAAAAGGACATTATAGGCCTTTTAATGCAGTTTGTTGTTAGTTTTATTTCTACTCCCAAGGAAGATAGGGAACACTATATTTTTAGATCTATTTCAATTTCCTATTTTGTGTTGTTGGGACTTTCCAGCTGATCAAAGGGAATAACGGACATTCATAGATCATAAAACAAAAAAAATTCTACAAGGAGCTAGAGCATGGGTCCCCAAACTTTTTCCTGCGAGGGCCACATGACTGTTCCCTTTTCTGGTCTTTCGAGAAAGAAACCTTAGAAAAGTTTTGTTGGGGGTGGGGGGAATTGGATTACTGCCGACGACATATTCGCGTTTGTAGATAGATTTTTACCCAGAATGCAAATGGAAAAAAACCGTGAGCGAAACGGTGACTGGTACTGACTAGTATATATTCCATTGAGGGAAACTAAGTTTCATATCTGCTCAAGAGCGCCCCTGGTGGTTGAAGAAAAATCCACATATATATATGAAAAAAAACACTGAATGCTCTCTGGTAGTGTTCAGGGGGCCGGACCAAATGAGGAGGCGGGCCGGATCCAGTATTGTTCAGGGGGCCGGACCAAATGAGGAGGCGGGCCGGATCCGGCCCGCGGGCCGTAGCTTGGGGACCCCTGAGCTAGAGCTTACATGAGACATGTCGGGTCATCAAGCAATATCTTATGAAGAGTGTATGCTGCAAGTCACACTGGTAGTACTGCCCACATCTCTGTGTCCAAGCTAGCATTCCAGATCTATCTTTCAAATCTTTTCTTAATGATGCTTGTGATGCTGCTACCCAACAGATTACTCAATAGAAGAAAGCTGATGCCACAGTAGAGGACCAGATTATCTAATTACAAAGAGACGGTCAGCGTGTTTCATACAACGCCATCTTTTTATTTCTGTTGTTTCATTAAGTGCGTTTTTACAACACAAACAAGCTTGACGCGAGTTGTGACATCTTGACACATCTCCACAGATGGGCCCCCTAGCCAGCAGGGGGCCCCAAATCTGCATGTTCACCTCATCTCAGGAAAGTTCAAATCTCCTGTCTTTATCTAAATCCATCTCATATATTTGTTACATGTTTCACATGCTTGAAAAACAAATGGTACGATTTAAATAAAACAAACTGCAAAGATGACCTGTGACTGTTTTTTGTTCTTTTACCATTATGAGGCCAATATTTGGTCATTAGTGTTTGGTCGTATTATTGGACTACAATGTCATGCATGAGGTGGCATAGCAAGCTGCAGTTAGCAAGAAAAGTAAACTGGACACGTGGCATCTAAAGAAATTTAGTGGCTTGGAAAAACAGAAGGAAAAGTAAACAGAGGAAGAAAAGTGATCAAAGAATTAAGGTGATTATTGGTGATGTGGGCTGGATAAGTGGAGGAGTAACGTCTTATTTTGTTACATTTTTTGTTCAGCTAGCTAGCCTCGCAAAATTATTATTTAGCTGGCTAGACTGAAATGTTTGCTTCATGAATATGTCACATCTGTTGCCATGGGAATGACTCACTAGACTTGTTTATTTAGATTCTAGCAGGGAATTTTTATAAACACTCAGAATCTCTTTTTATTGATGTATAGAGGATTATTGTTTTCCTTTTATTATAACAGTTAAATTCACATCAAAATGTGAAATTTTCTATTTAAATGGTTAGAAATCTCATCAATGTAGTTTGATACACCGGGGGTCTAACTGTATTTAAATGATCCAAACCTAAATTTTCTAAGTGTCTGCCACTGACAGCTTGGTGTCAGATGTCACAGCAGGACTTCAAATGTCTTGTGGGCTCAGTGTTTAAGTGTGTTTGGGCTGTTTTTCTGTCAAAAGGGGGACCAACTCAAAATTAAATGAATAATAATGTGGCACAGTGTTCAGTTTGTCAAGGAAGCATTTTGGTCATAGTTTTAATCAATTTACTTCTTTTTCCAGAATGAAAACAAGATCAACACTAAATGACAAAACTGAATTTCTGCCATGCGTTTTGAAGAAACCAGACAGCAGTGGAGAGAAATCATCCAATCAGATGTCGTTTTTTTTGGGGGGGTGGGGGGGATGAGACAAGTTGGATAAATAAACACTTAGACTTACATGTACATCTTAAGAGTTGTTTATTTTTTTAACTTTATTGACAAAAGCAAACCCAAATAAAGTTGGCTCAAATAAGAAAAGCTAGCCTACAGCAGCATTAAACGCCAACGCTTACCTGAGAGAGATAACGTCCATGAAGTCCTGTGGTGTGTTCAGGGTGACTCGGACTTCCCGGCCGTCTTGCAGCTGGAAGCTCCCATCCAGGCTGGGGGAGCTCCTGAGCTCGGCAAGCCATTCAACCGCGGCCTGACCTGGAGCACCGTCCACCCCCATCCTGGCTGACAAGCCCACATAAGCACTGGGAACAAAGACACCAGTTACACTCTGCTGATAGACTAACCATGTGGCCGCTGTTAAGACTGTAAACTCGGCACTACTTGGGACGGACGTATCCATTCAGGGAGAAGTGAGAAGTGTCCCTGTAGTTAACTCTGCCTTTCAGGTGCAGTGAAAGGAGAGAGGTCATATTGATGCCCAGGTTGATGGGGACGCCAGACAGGGAGGGCAATCGCAGTTCCTCAGCCATCAGCACACCCCTGTGGCTCAGATGAACCTCATGACCCTGCAGGACAAAGCAGAAGGAAGGAAAAACGGTGGGGGTGATGGGCTGCAAACAGACCTCGGAGTATCAGTATCAGTCCTCTTCGACTGAAATGGTTTTACTGACAATTCAATCAGCTTGTGGGCACTGCAGCCATTGGTCAACTGAGTTTACAGAGAATTTAGTTGAGTAAAGTCAGAAGTAAAAGAGGAAAGAATTTTCAGAATCACTTTGTATCTTTGTTTACTTCAAACCTGTCCTCTATGGCAAGGGTCTCCATAAGTTATAATCTAAAGAGCCGTTTTTTTTCCTCCAACTCCAGTTAAATAAAACTCGATTAGAGTCATAAATATTACATAACATGGAAAAAAAAGGCAATGTATAATACAAAAAAAAAAAAAATAGAGTATAGGAATTTTCAAATGAACCACAAAAATATTTCTATTTATAAGTTTTAAATTAAGGAAGAACATAAAACTTTTGCTAAAAGAGGATGGCTGTGTTTTTCTTTGACAGGATGCAAATATGAGTTGGAAATGATGCAGAAAAAGCAGATTTGCTAAAATAATGGCAAGAAAAATAGATGTAAACAAATATTACTGGTACTGTCATTTTTTGTGCAAAAGCTGCTAAAAACACCTTTTGTAATACATATAAAAAAATAGAAAAAAATAAATAAATAAAAATAAACAATAGTTTGTTGTTTATCATGTTTAGCCAAATATTTTAGGAGCCATTACAGAAGGTCCAGTTACTCTGTAGAGGCAAGTAATAATATGAATTTATATATTTACAGTAAACAGACAAATATTGAGTTTTGTTATTTGAAAATATACCAATTAAGTTTGAACAGTCAACAATCATAATTAGGATATGCAATTTATGCAAAGATAATGTCTCACTAGTTACTATGTGTTAAATCTTAATGGGTTGCATCTTCTTCCAGCTGTTTCCATCCCATTGTTATTAGCATTAACACAATGATCGGCCTTTGTAGAAGAGCTTACGTTTGTATTGGTATTAGGTTTTTGTTTTTATTTACTTTTTATCTCCATTTCATCTGGAAAAAAATAAGATTTTTGATGAAAGCTATAACAAAAAGTGTTAATTTTCATCCCTATAAGCTGGATGTTACCTTGAGCAGTTTGACAGCCAGCCCAGCCAGGCTGAGGGAACCCTGATGGATTTGGTCAGAGACGTCGTCACATGTGAACACACTGAGCTCGTTCCCGAAGATCTGCACAGAAACCCGACACCTCGGCTTTTCCTCGTCTGCTTTCCTTCTTCCAAACAACTGCAAAGACATTTAAAAAACAAACAAACACAAATGCATCAAAAACATGCAGAAATTTTTATAAATCTCTTAATTAGAAATGATCAATACTTTTATTGGAAGTTGACTAAATTTGGAATGTGAATATGATCTGCTTGTAAGTCCATTGTAAGACTCAGACATAAATTTACAACCCCACAAATGTCAAGAGTGTGTCCATGTTGCTCTGCAATGAACTGGCAACCTGTCCAGGATGAACCACACCTCTCTCCCAGTGACCACTGGAGATGAAAACCAATACCCCCGACCCAACCCGACCCGACGAGGATGACTGGGTATAGACAATGGATGGCTGGATATTTCTTTAGCTCATTGTTAAACTCTTCTTAATTTCTAAATAGAATACTGAATTAAAACATATACAGAATGTGTCCGTTAAAACAAACTGCTAAAGGAATTTTTGCCTCTGGCTGTCTGGGCACCGCTGGTCGGCCAAACCCGTCATCTTGGCGGATAAATTAACTCCAGACTCCAACAGGGGGTCTCCCATGACCGGCTCCCTTCAGGTCTTTCCACCATGTTTCTGCTGGATTGAGGTCAGGATGTTGGTCTTTGACTTGACCATTCCACAACATTAACTTTATTCTTCTCCGGCCATTCTTTGGTTGAATGACTTGTAATGCTTAGGGCCATTGTTTTGCTGCCTGACCCATTTTCTCTCGAGGAGAACGTCAGACAGATGTCCTGACAGTTTCTCTTTACCATTCGCTGGCGTGATGCAAAATGTATCATTCCTTTACAACCATGAATATCCTGCAGCAAAACAGGCCTGTGATGCTGGCACCACAATATTTACACTACGTGATTAGGAGAATGGAGATATTTTTATTCTTTTTTAAGGACAACTCCTTGTTATTTTAACAAAAATATACATCAGTTGGTTTCATCTGTTCTCAAAGCAGCTTTTTATCTGAGAGAGCAGCATCTCATGCAACCTGTCATCCACACAAATCTTGTTATTGTTTTACAAAGAGTGGAGGGAATGTGTGATATAACCCTTAAGGCAGATTGAGGATGGTGGGTATGACTGTTAGACGTTTTGTTGTTTTTCTTTGTTTTGTTTCAGCCACATTGGAGGTTTTCATGAATGGCCTATTTAAAGGCGTTTTGCACAGCTGGTTGACAGGGGAGATTCAAGGATTTCTCAAACATGCATGAAAGAATCAAAGTGGGATTTGAGATATGTTTTTGATTAGGGAGTAACATTATAACATGATGTAAAGCTAAAAAAAAAAAAGTCAATTTTTCGTAATACTGACTTTTTAAGGTCAAGCCAAATTGGATCCAAACTTTTAGCAGGCCTCTAAAAGACATTATTTACTTTCTTACTTTAAGTTCATGAGATTTTTGTCAGACATTTTCTTCATGATTTTCTTTATTTTATTTTTAGTCAGCAGTGCTTCCAGTCTCTTTTATTATTGTTGAGTTATGAACGTTGACCTTAACTGTGACGAGGGACGATTGTAATGCTTTAGATGTCCCGGGTTCTCTTGTTTTCTCTGGCTGAATCCATGATGCCTACTTTTGGAAGATCGACCTCTCCATGGGAGGTTCTTCACTGTTCCATGTTTTCTCCATTTATAGATAATAGATTGCACTTCATTTGCTGGAGACCCGAAGTCTTATCAATGCTTTTTAACCTTCTCCAGACAGACAGATGTTGATGACTTTGTTTCTTTTCTGTTTTAGAATTTCTTTACACTGGGCCCTGATCTCCTAGCCTACTTCATGTTGTCAGATGGGTTCTATTTGAGTGATTTCTTTGCACTAAAGGTCTGGCACTAGTCAGGACTGGGTGTACCCTTTGAGACTGGACCAAAAACTTTTTCTTTTTTTTTTTTTTATTTCAATTTCTTTTTAATTTTTTCCATATAGAGTCAGGTCGGTTTTGATAGCTTTTTCCATTTAGAAATGAAATCATCACAAAACTCAGGTTGTTGTTGTCAGATGTTATGAGTAGCTGAATAGTTTGGGACACCAGGTGGATCTGTTGCAGTAGGGATTTGGTGCTGCTTTAAAAGCTTCCTCGGCTCCCTGCAGAGTCTGCTATCTAAATGTCAGAACTTATCAGCTCTGTTTCCTACCATAGCCCTGGCCTGGCTCAGATAACCCTCGGTGTCGGACAAACACGTTTCTTTCTCTCTTCTGTTTCCGTCATCTGCTCTTCTTCTCCTCCTCGTCTCTTGTTTTCCACTTTTAGCAGTTGGCTCGCCCTCCGTCTTCTGACCAAAGACGCTCCTCAGAAGTGGCTCAAAGTTCTCCATATGTAAGTCCACCTGAAGGAAGAAAGAAAATGTGGCCCACTCAATATCGCGTTTACTTTATCGCTATGGATTATTAATAATATGCTGCTTGTGAAACTCGCCTCCAGAAGGTTGTGCGCTCTGCCATGCAGATACATCGTCAGGTTGGCTGAGATCGATCTGGGCAGAAAGGACTTCGGAGAGAAAATCAGGGATGTTTCTAGATTCTTTATTCCAAAGCCTGAAATGGAGAAGAAACAGGCATTACACCATTAATAGCACATGCTAATTTTTAAGACTTTTTCTTTTTTCTAAACTATTTCTTAGTATCACAAAATATACAATGACCATGCTAAGAGTAAGAATTCAGAAAAGCTTTATACCTTATTTAAAGCAGGAAAGTCATTTTTAAACATTGTTTTCTGACTAAGAGCCTTTTGTTAAAAGGAAAAGTCCAATCCTATACACTGAGAAATCAGACAAATGCTAAATGGTTTAAACAGAAACGTTAACGGAAACCTTCCAATATGGATGTGAGGTCCTGAGAAGTATAGAAAAGAATAGAGTAAGCACTCTTACTTCCTCAAAAATTCTTCTACACAGGAAAAGTGAGCTGGTTTGTGAAACTTAGCGAGGGCAGATTTTTCTCTTTAGTTACCAAAAGTCTTGTTAAAACACTTTCCACCCCTTTAATTTGAAACAACTGCATCTCTGCACAACCTGGGGGTTCATTGAGAATATCCACTTCAATGGAAGAAGCAACCCAAGGATGAGGGAAAAGGACGAAACATTTCATGCCATGTAGTGGCATCAGCGTTGGTTGTAGCAAAAAGTTCCTCCATTTAGAAAATGTGTTATTTCACCAAACTTTTTACTTTTGTGCCTCAGATGTCAGCATCATCTGCTGACATTCATGGAAAGTATATGAAGATTTTTTCTCTATAACAAGGTTTCATAATGAACTCACAATATGTGGAAAGTGAGACTTTAAACTACTTCCATTCACTACAGCAACGTTTTATAAAACTTCTCCATGAGATAAGAGTTAGGCTGCATAATATATCACGAACATATCATCATCATGTTCATGTGTGCAATATTTACATTGCAATGACTGTTGGCTAATATATCCCCAAGTATTATTAGCCAGAATTTTACATGCTAATATAGCATTTAGCTAATAGGACCAGAGGCTGCTGTCACTTATGAGATTGCCCAAAATACTGAAGGTCACTGATGGTAGGGTTAACTTAACCCTCACTGCAACATTTGCCAGTTCAGATTTTTGATGAGAAATTAGAGAAAAGGAGGAGTTTTTGTACGCGGTGTCTCTCTTTTGCAACTCTTCTGTGTTTTTCTTAACGTCACACTTGGAAAAGAGTTACAAGCCAAACACAAGCAACCAAAAGAGACCGTTGTAAAAACAATGATGCTAAGATTAGCATCCACAATAAATATGTTCTCCCTCTTTTTACCTGAAACAAAAGTATGATCTGAATAGGAGGAATATTTCCAAAACTCTGCCTCAAAATCTCTGCTTATAATGTCATCAGGCAGAAGCTGAATTAATGTCTGCTTCACGGGGTCCTCACTCCGCAGGATATTAGTGAGATGACTCCACACAAAGGACCCCACTGGAAAGACAAAAGAAGAAAGGGAAATTATTTCCAAAAAAATATAACGCAAAAAAGGTCCAAGGAGATAGTCTTGCCTGTACAGTCCTACTAAAAACTAATCTGAATAAATTCTCAACTTAAAACAAGTATTTATGATATGTTTAAAGACAATATTAAACTCCGAATTGTTATTTAGACTTGTGCTACATATTCTGGGTGTCTTGTCCAAGCACAGATCGGACCTTGGCTGGAGGTCTCGTTCTTCAGTGTTGTCTTCACCACTTCAAACACTTCCTGGTCGGGGCAGAGCATGAGCTGCTGGTATGCAGCGATCCTGACCTCAAGATCCTCCCGGGAACATCTGTACAGCTGCAACAGCACTGACCGCTGAGAGAAGGAAACCGCTTTCAGTAACTGATTACGATCTGACCACTTCACCTCAACCCAGAGCGCATAGCAAAGCAATTATCACTACATTTAAACATGCCTTAATGGGGATTTGAGTTTGTTCTGTTCTAACTTAGACTATTAAGCCATTGAATACATAATTAATCTAATTGGGGCAAAAACTATATTTTAAAGTGTTTGCTAGTTTTTACATCTTGGTTCTGACTTGACTATGGTTTTAGTCAGTGGTGGACAAAGTATTCAACTCTAGTACATGAGTAAAAGTATTGACAGTCATGGTTAAATGTTACTCAACTACAAGTAAAAGCGTACTCAACTTAAAGTACTTACTTTTGAAAATATCTAAGTATTCAAAAGCATAATTCGTATATTCCAATAGCAGTACATTGCTAGGATTGTTTTCATAATGTTTTTACAGAACCTTTTAACTGGCTGAAACCACCTCATGATGTATTGACATGTTGAACCACTGTTACAAACGTCTACACCACTTAAACAAACTTCAGGAAAAATAAATATTTAAAACGTCTCTCCAAAAGGATAAAAACAGGAGAAGCTATGTTTTCCCAACAGACAGCAACATTGGTAACTATAAATAATGCCATACTAAACAGAGAAGCTTACAAACATAAAACACCGAGCTAAAATGAGGTCATCTAGCCCACCTAATTCCAAATATCAGCTGTGAGCGCGACTGTGATTGGTTCCCCATCTTGTGAAGAGCATAGCGTGTGGCCAATTGAATTTCAGTAAATAAAAAAAGCAACAGCATACTACAAAACTATGCGGAGCCAAAAGGAAGTAAGACGGCGTATTACTTTAAAAAGGAGTAAATATCCGGAGGGGGATTAATTTTTTTTTTAAACTCAGACATTTTCTACAAAAGAAACTTTGACATTTCAAAAACATCTGGAAATGTCTGAGTTTGAAAAGTCAAAAGTTTTATAGAAAAGAATCACATTTTGAGATTGATCTTTTTATAGAAGGAATTTTCTGTATTTCAAAAGTCAAAACTGTTCAAATTTTGAAAATAAGAAATGTCCTAGTTTTTCTAGAAAATTTCAGAAATTAATTTAAAAATTTCTGAGTTTTTGTCAGAAATGTACTTTTCCTTTTCTTTTTTTTTCTAGTAGCTTTTATATGTTGTTGTATTTTTGAAATATAGTGGTGTTGAAGTCATAAGTTTCCCAAGAAAATAAATACTCAAATAAAGTAAAGATACTCAAAAAATCCTAGTAAATGTACTCCATTACTGTCCACCACTGGTTTTAAGAATCAACTCACGTCAGCTGAGCATGGAAAGCGTCTGAAAGCTTGGACTGCGGCGACTTTGAGCTCCAGCTCAGTTTGGTGGCCCAGCAGGCAGCGACTCAACAGAGGAATAAAGGATGCTGCATTCACACCACTGTTTCCAACGGATTTCAATGCATAAATAAGCTGGAAGACACACAGTTATATCTGCAAGTGGGCAGTCAAATATTTCACAATCCATTTCAAAAACATGGTTTGTGCATTAAAGGGCACTGACTTCAGCTTGAAGACGTCGTACCTCTCTGATTTGACGAGGTTCCTTTTCCCCACACCCTGCATTCAGGGTTTCCTGAATTGTCTGCATGAAAAACTGAACCTGAGGTGTTTCACCGCAGGAAGCTTGAAACCTTTGGCACATCTGATAGATGAGAGATGATCCAGCCAGCATCGCTTTGGCCCGTAGCTCTTGACGCACCAAAAAACCCTTAAAAAGAATCAACATCTCAGTTTTTAAGTGAAATATTGCATGGATGAACTCAGCGGTTGCTGTGAAAAGGTCCTACGTTGATGGAGCCAATGATCTGAGGTGATGGGTGTGGGATGAGGGCTAAGGTGGTCAGGAAAGAGTTAACCTGCCCTTCCTCCAGTTCATTATTCAGCACCAGCTCAGTCAGCAGCAGAATGCAGTTTTCAGATCCACATGCTGGCAATGCCTCCAGTAGTGGTTGCCTGTCAACAATAGCTAACATCAGTATCCATCTGTATGACCTTTAACCTCTGAAGTAAGAAAATCTGTTTTGAACCAATGAGCTTCAAACAGCTGTGTTTCCATTAACCAGAAAACTGTGCAAATTGAAATTTCAAACATGCCAATTAAAAAGAAAAAAAAAATCACATTTTTGGATAAAACAGGTTGTTTTTCGGTTATACCAAAGTAGATGTGTTTCACAGAACTGCAATGGGAAAACTTTTTTTTCGCATCACAGGAGTCACGTGATCAACAGCTGGATTGGCGGAAATGACAAAGAAGACAACAGGAAGTAGATGGAAGATGATAGTTTGTTTTTTTCTGGCTCCACCAGAGCTCACAGCATCACAAAAAAGTTGTGTGTCATTGGAACGTGTTGAATCCATAACTCTTCTGTAAAATTGTCGACTACAATTTCCCCAAAATGCCAGATATGTAGCCACTACCAAATATAAGGGGCTACATACAAACATACGTGATCCTGAATTATAAATATTGTTTACATCCGTCGCTGCCAATATTCTTAATGATTTTTTGCAGGAACAAACTTATTCACATGTGATTTTTATTTCATTTCTTATTTAATGGAAACGCCGCAACTGCAAAGTTGTGTTTTTTCAACATTAGTAGAACATAGACAAAGATTTGTGCACATTTGTAATGCACACAGCTAATACTGTTAATTATATTTTTAAAGGACAAAAACACAGAAATTAATAAGTTATGAAATCTGTCATATGTGATTAAAGAAGTAAGTATGAGCAGATTGTTCTGATGCTTTCCATTCGCCCAAAGAGTCTCAAGTTGTTCTGGTGTTTGTAACGACAGCAGAACAACCTGATTATGTTTCACCTGAGTTTCCCATGACCAGCTTTACTGGATGTGAGATCACAGTTTATAAGATATATGAGTTGATACAATAAACACATCACAATTTGACACTCTATTTTATATGCCATAGATGGACGCCATAGATGGACTGAACTAGCTGATATTTATTTGCATTGACAATATGGCTTCCTAATCACTGGTAGAGTTCAGCAGATGTCTCATTTTTGACACTGAAACGATTGTCAACTAAAGCACTGATCAAGATACACGAATATAGCCGTTATGGACCAACTGACCAGTCATTTCTGCACTTGAAAGAAGATTCTTGCCAAAGTGTTTTGAGTTGAGGAAGAGTCATGTCTTTGAGCTGGAACACCAGCTCCAGGAAGTCCTGGGAAATCTAGAAGAAGATTAGACACATTGTTAAATTTATGTTGTTTCCATCACATGATTGATGTTACTTTATAAGCATTTGTTCCGAAAACATAAAACATTCCTTACGAATATACAGTCAGAAAGACTGTCAGACTGAGTATGATTACCTTCCCAGGAGACTCTGGGATCCCAGGGGGGGAACCATGACACACAAATACAAACATGCACTCAGTGATCTGGCAGAGTGTTAGCAATGTTGCTTTATTCATCTTCACTGCTAAATAAAAACAGTGAAGTGAAGAACAGAATAAAAACAGAAGAAGTGAAGGTGGGTGAAAACAGACTGTAGGTTACCAGCTGTGGATCTGAGGCAACGCTGCATAGCAACGCGATGGTCCGACCAACTTCCTGGAGACTTGTCGGCCTTGAAGGGCCTTCATCTTCAAACCGCAGGTCAGTGAACACACCAGGACTCAGGGACTCTGATGGAGCAAAAGAATATGTGGATCTGACTGCATGTCTGTCAGGAAGTACTGCGACTAAGGCAGGTTGTGTCCAAAGTGCGGCTCGGGGGCTGTTTGTGACACTTGGACTGATTTGGGCTGCCCCCAGCTGCAGTTAAAGAACCATACAAATTTGGCCCCGTCCAGTAGAGGTGGGTAATGGAGACAGAAGCTCTTCATTTTCAACCAGGGTTCAAATTATTATTGACAGATTTTTTTTTTACAATGGAGAATGTTAAAGGGGCAGTGTTATGTGCTTTCCAGGCACATACTGCCAATTTATAGCACAATCAAGTAATATTCACTTGTTATAAAAGGCCGTATATAAATCAAACATGACTTATAAGAAATTTGACATTTTTCATTTAATGGCTACAAGTTGAACCTCTGTCTCTTTAAAAAAAAACCCTGCTTTTTCTGAAATACCACCTTCAGGAAGCCACTACAACATCTCTCCTCTATTGACCTGTTTTTACCAGTGTTTCACTGAGAAGTAGCTCCTATGATGAACTCAACAGACGTGCAGTTCCACCAGATGTTTGCTAATTACTGCAGGCTAGTCTGAAGGAACTCTGTGAAGAGAGATGCTGTGTGAGGTGAAAGCTTGGAAGCTCACAAACGCAGCTAAGAAAAGGAGCTTCTTCCTCGAAGGCAGAGCTAGGTCCACCCAGGCGTTTTGCACAGCTGAATGGTTGCCATGGAGATGAAAGGATTTCTCAAACATGCATGAAAGAATCAAAACAACTCTCCAGGTATGTTTTTGATGAGGAAATAACATTACAACATTGTGTAAAGTCGATTAGACATAACACTGCCACTTTATGTACAACACAAAGTATTCGTCTTTTTGCAACCTCTATGAGAAGTAGAATCACGTCTATCCAGAAGACTTTTAATAAAATGTGAACGTTGGTTGCAGCAAACTTTGAAAGAAAGTGACCCAAATTCTGTTCTTGTAATTGAGAATTTATTTGGTTAATTGAATCCAAAGGAATTTGAAAATTAGATGTTTGTCTCTTAATACAGCAAATATGCAAAACTTACTTTTCAAGTTTTAGATCAACAATGATTAACACCCATTTCCTACAAAAACATTGGACTGATTTTAATTTTGTTTTTATTCCTTTTAGCCCATGAGCAAATGTGACTTAATGACTTTGGCTCCTGTGACAAAAAGTTTGGACAGCCCTGTACTAAGGAGTGGAAGTAGAATCGTCATGCTGACCTGCTCCGGTAGATGCTCCCGGCTGGGTTTTGAGCAGGAGCAACGTGGAAACACTCTTTGTCTTTACAGGCCCCAACGGCGTCAAGGAAGCTGCCAATGTTACAACCTCAGTACAGTTAACTTCTTCCACCATCAACTGGCCAGGCCGCTGGACACAGTGCAGCTCCATCCGCACCATCTAGACCAAGGAAGTCACATGACATATTCCATTATAGACATCTGAAGTGATAATGAATCTTTCATCTTTGGAGTTGTCATAAAGTTAAGTGTTTTTCTACATCCTGAGTCCAAATGGCAAAAATAAAATTACTTGTTGAAATTAGTTTAGTACGACGATGTTTTAACGTCGTTATAGATGGAAAAAAAAGGGGTAAGTTTCCATAAAAAGAATCTCAAAGATTATTTGGAAAAAACTTCAGAAATTTAACATTTTAAACTTTTGAAAATCAGAAGCTTCTACATTTTTTTCTCATCGATTTCCAAGACTAATCTCAAAATTTCTGAGTATCTTCTAGCAAATTTTCAACTTTTTAGACTCAAGAATTTCCACATTTTTTTTCAACAAAACTTCTGAGATTAATCTTAAACTGAATTTTTTGTAGCAATATTTCGACTTTTCAAACTCAGAAATTTCCACATTGTTTCTAGATTGATCTCAAACGTTGAGTTTTTTGGCAAATATTCAATCCTTTTTTTTCTATCTCCAAAGGCCCTAACACATTGTCGTGCTTTAGGACAGAGGAACTCACCGTGTCTTCAGTCAGAGTGACTGAATGAGGCCACAGGCGGTCCAGCCTGGACTGTTGGCACTGCCTCAGATCTCTGCTCTTCAGCAGTGATGGTCCTCGCCTCTCGTATCTGCTGGTGCATGTTCCATGAACATCAGTCTGAGGAAAAACATCGGCGCAAGTCCTTTAAATGAACAGCGCAACAGAAGTAAGTCCTTAATATAGATGAAAAAGGATTAGTTCCACTGGCAGATAATTTCACAAAAGACATGCTTCCCATTTCATAACTGAAACTATCTGCCAATGGAGCTAGAACCTTTTCATATTAAGAAGTTATTGACTTAAGACAAGCTTCTATATCTTGCTAAAAAGCTTCTTCTAAGTAACTTTCAAGTGTAATAAGATATTTGTACTGGAAACTAGACAAAAAATATTTTAGTAGTTTGCGTTCAAAAGGTATTTGTCAAATTCCAGTGAACTGTGGCGAAGTTTGTGAAAACGTGAATCAGTTCAGACTCATGTCGTCTCCATCCCCTCACCTCTGTCTCTTCTCTGAATTTGGCGACCATGGGGGAGGTCTGGAGCATGCTCAGTAGAGCCCGTTTAATGTTGAGAGCCCACACCTGCTCCCCCTCCTGGAGGCAGAGGGCTGTGACCTTTCCCCCCTGGAGGGAGAACTTGAGGCGCGTTCTCTCCAGTGACTCCCTGGGAAACAAAAACACCAGATGAGCCCATCTTCCTCCTCCTCCTCCTCCTCAGCCTCCTCCCAAGACAAGAGAACAAATAGAAGAGGCACATCTGAACCGAGTATCCCTATAATAGGAGTCATAGCTGAAGCATTCCAAAGGGGTATAAGGTTGCAGCAAACAGAGCGCAGACACAACTATGAGTTAAAATAATAAAAATTTTCAAAGAAAGCTTTAAAGGGTGTTACCTCAAAGTTTTTAGATGCAGGACAGAGTGTTCCCTCTGAGAGGACAGACGCTTTATCTGGGAATTTCTTATCTGTTGGACAGGCAGACACTTGAAACCACAACACAACATGCTTTTAGATAGTCGGCTCAGAACGGCTATGAACGAGAGCAGACCTGCATGGTTAGGTGGCAGTCGGAGACCGCCTCGATGTCCACCACGCAGTCCAGGGCCAGCCCGCTCCGGCCTCCGCCCGAGCCATGGAGGGTGGTGCTGATGGCCGCGCTGTACCTGTAGGTGTATCTCACCCCTTTCTGAGCGGAGAAGTCAGTGCTCTGAGACCCTACGGGTGTAGAATTAAAAAACACAATTAAAATTTAAAATTAAATGCTAACTTTCTGCTTTTGAAAAAAAAAAAGACCTTTTTTTTTTTTACATTACTGGTGTGTTTGCATGTAGGACTGGAGCTAACAATTATTTTACTTATCAATTCTTCTGACGATTAATCGCATAAAAATTTGACACATTCTGCACTTTTCATTTCATCGTTTAAACTTATTTTATGCAATATGAGAAATACAAGAGAGTGCAAATAAACAAAGTTCAATTCATTTTTCAAACATGAAAGTAAACATTTTGTTCACGTGCTTCTAACATCAACATGTGAAAAGCTTAGGCCTCTCTGCTCAGTTTAACATCAATAATGTCATCAGTACAGTGAGGTGCTGCTCTAGTAACTACCTTTTGGATTAACTGATTAATAATTGGATAGCAAAAGGTGCTAAACTGTAGGTTTCTTTATTTTTTTTTTACAATTTTGAGCCAGGCATAGCAAAATCTTTGCCGCTTGAGGAGTTTTGGGTAAAATATTTTTACATACAAAAAGATTTTTATCTTCATTGCAAAATGTATATGTATTTTGTTCCATTTTAGCTCAATTACAGTGTTGCTCTTTCAGCAAATGCCCTTCTTTACAGTCTCTATGCTCCACTTAACGATTAATTTATCACTAAATTAGTTGATGATTATTTCAATTATCAATTATTCCCATTTTTTAGCTCTATTTGCATGCAACAATTTTAAACAGCTTTGTTCTGTGCAAAAAAAAAAAAAAAATCTCACCAAGACAACTTGTGTCACAGATGTTTGGTTCCACCAGAAGACATTCACCTACTAAGCATAAGGTTCAGAAGAAAAACAAAAACAAAAGAACAACTCAACTTTAGGGTAAACAGTTGTGATGATAAACGCTCTTACATCTCATGTCATCATCTCATGCCTTTAAAAAGATTAGATTAAATTGTAAATCCAAATTTCTCCACAAACATTAACATGAAATAAAAAAAATCTCAACTCTTACCATGAAGAAGTAGAAAAACCAAAATAACATGTGGATAAGCAAGCAGCAACACGGACACGGCCATAGCAACCCAGAGTCAGCGCAGGTCCGGCAGCCTCGGCAACCCCAACATGTACATGAGGGATGAAAGCCAAGCTCTGTTCGCTTAACTCAATGACCGGGCTTGTATGTGGACTTCCACTGTGACCCATCCTGCTCACAGCGGCCAATCAGGACGCAGATTCCGAGCTAAAAGCTACAAACACTCAACGGGCCAATCATTGTCGAGGCCTCGAGACTCAAAACACATGAAGATGTGTGGCCAAATTGGACACATGAGGCACATATGTAGAGAAAATGAAGGTTTACTATATGGAACACACATCTGCTTGTAAAAATACTTGTATTCAGTGACTTTTCCACATTTTGACATGTTTCAACCACAGAACTTTAATGTATTTTATTAGAATTTTATGTGAAAATGGTAGATAATTGGGAAGAGGAAGGAAAATGAGACATTTCTAAATTTGTAGCAAGCATTTACTCCACTTTACACAGAAATACTAAATAAATTCCAGTCTAACCAATTGTTTTCAAGTTTCATAGTTAGCAAATCGATTCTAAATGTGTGGAATTACACTCAGTAAATCCAGCTCTTCTGTTTCTGGCCTCGCAGGTTTTGTTAGAGAACATTGGAGAACAAACAGCATGTAGTCCAAACAACACGGCAGACCGGAGGAAGATGGAGAGAAGTTTCAATCAGAAATAAATAACATCCCATAAATCTCTGTTACATCAATCCTGATGGAAAACTTGATGAAAGAGTGACCCGAATCCTGTTTTTTGTTGATAAAAATAGATGAAAAATTATTTTCTTGGCCAAGAAAATAGAAAACAGTCGACCTCAAAAATATCTATTTATTTGAGATTTTTTTTAACAAGGCAAAACCTTGCTTGTGTTTTGATCTACAGTAATTTACACATCCATTTCCTACAAATCTCTATAACTACCTTATTATTTGAATCAATATATTGCATGATAAGTCTGTTTTTGGAAGAAAAAAAAATCATAACAAAAGTTGTTTTGTTACTTTTTTAGTTTTCAAAATTCTCATGTTTCTTGGCCTCCGATCACTTTTGACTTGATAAATTTGACCCATGTCACAAAAAGCTTGTACCCCCTGCTGTACGTCTAATGTAGATATATTTACATAGGAAGTGTTGGATAAGGTAACAGGAACACTTTGTAACAACTAGATATTATATTTGATCAGCAGGCTGTTGATCCTTTAATTAGCAAACAAATAGTACATTTAGATTTGATATGTATCTTTTCATGTTTGTATGCAACAAGAATAGGAAAAAAGACTAAGCTAGCGGTTGTGCATCGTTCATTAGCAATTAACTAACAAAGATGCACAACAGCATCGTTTGTTAGCATTAAGCTAAGTAAAGATTTTATTTCACAAGACACTAACCCTGCCATTTTCTTCTTCAGACACTTTGTTGTAGATTGTTGGGTCATTATGTTGTATGACCTGATTTGTACCAATCCTTCACTGTGGGGCAGATGGTCTCATATTTGACTGGACCAGGGCAGGTTACCGGGCAACCAGCTCTTAAAGTGATCATTTCAAAACCTCCAAGTTTTCCCAGCTCATCATTTCTTTGGTCTGACTTCCTTTTGGGACGCAAGGCAAAGTGTGGAAATGTCCTGCTGTTTGGAGCATAAAGCAATTAAGCTCTGCCCCTCCCCCACAGGTTGCTGCACACTCCAAGTCAGCTACAGTTAATTTTTTTAAGATTTTCAACCGATAAGGTGAGAAGCACATTTCTCACCTTACCTTATACATATTTAGCTTCCAAGCACCACAACTCAAGAACAAACTTCCAGAAAACTGCAAAACAGTTGAAACACTGCTTCATTTAAATCAAGGCTAAACCCCCACCTGTGCAGAGATGCTTTCTACTGCTTTTCACTGACCAACATGTTTTATGTGTATTGATGATTTTGATGATCGCAGTCATCAAAATGTAATGTTTGTTACTGGTTCCTAAATTGGTATTATGTGCTTATTTTTTATTTTTGTGTTTTTATCATGCAAAGCACTTTGAACTGCCTTGTTACTGAAATGTGCGATGCAAATAAACCTGATGGGCTTAACTGACTGAAGGTTGTTTCTGACATGAGACAAAACCAAGTATTGGGGAAAAAAGACTTTTATTTACATTTTATTAAAAGAAAATTGAATGTCAAAAATTATTTAAAAATTCATTCATTTTTTAAGATTTTGATTCAATCAAGGGCAGAGATTGCTTGAAACACAACACAATATATATTTTTGAAAAATAATGTTTATTTTAGATTTTTATGTACATTTTGTAAAAAAAAAAAAAAAAAGAACAGCATGTCAAAAATTATTTAATTGCTTCTTAATAACCAGTGGACTAATCATTAATGCAGCAAAACACTCCTTTTATGGGTGATTTATCTTGGCTAAATCCAGGCACGTGCAAAGGGGGGGAGGAGGGTGCTTGAGCACCTGCCCCTTTTGCTCCTTGCCCCCAAGTGCCCTTTTGGTCAATTTTTTTTTCTTTTTTTTTTTTTTGGTATTATTATTTTCTAAGCCCTCTTCTGACACATAACATGTACTAAAATTATTATTATTATTATTTTTTGTACAGTATAATAAGCCCCCCACCCGGTCACCTTGTTACCTTTGACCTTTTGCCCGTGACGCATGGCGCAGTTGCCTTTCGCACATTGAGGTACGGCAGCTAACTGGAGCTCAACGTAGCGAACGTTCCAGATTACAGATCAGTTTTTGAATTAAAAAAAACGTTTTGGTTGAATAAAGTGGAGTAGACTTGCTACTTGTCAGATGACGGAAAGCGTTGAAGTATCGTTTCTGCTTCATCACGGAGTAGCGGTTTAAGCACAGAGGTAATGAAACAG